CCAGAATCCAAGGTGGCTTGTGAAATCATGCTGTGTTTTGCATAGAACCTGTGTGTTTCTTTTTTTATTTTATTTTTTGAGTAGAAGACAAAGTCTCATATAGCTCAGGCTGGCCTCAAAGCTGCTATGGAGCCAAGGATGACTTTAGCCCTCTGTTCCTCCTGCTTTTACCTCCCAAATGTTAGAACTGCAGGTGCACCCCATCGTGCCCCATTTGGTGAAGCTCCAGGGATTGAACTCATGGCTTCACACATGCTAAGCAACTATTCAACCAACTTAATTACATCGCTAGCCATATTACATTTAATCAAAGTTTTTTTTTTCTTTTCTTTTTAGCAACTAAATAGATAATCATATGATTTTTGCCTCTTCCGGTAGGTCAGTGATGAATTACTGGGAGTGTGGCTCAGTGGTAGAGCACTTGCCTAGCATATGTGAAGCCATGAGTTCTATCTTCAGTGCGAGTATGCACGTGCACGTGCACACACACACACACACACACACACACACACACACACACATATCTAAAAATAAAAAGAAAATCTTGTGGCTGGCAAGATGGCTCAGCGGTTAAGAGCACTTGTTCTTGCAGAGGACCCTGAATTCCACCCTCAACACCCATATGGTGAGTCACAGCTGTAATTCCAGTTTCGGGGGGCCTGGACCTGATGCCTTCTTCTGGCCTCCTCAGGCAGTAGGTACACACTGATGTGCATATACATATGCAGACGAAACACAAGGATAAGATTTTTTTTGTTTTTGTTTTTGTTTTTGTTTTTCGAGACAGGGTTTCTCTGTGTAGCTTTGCGCCTTTCCTGGAACTCACTTGGTAGCCCAGGCTGGCCTCGAACTCACAAAGATCCACCTGCCTCTGCCTCCCGAGTGCTGGGATTAAAGGCGTGCGCCACCACCGCCCGGCAAAGGATAAGATTTTTAAAAAGTAAACAACACTCCTTAGAGGGACCACTCTGTCATTTGCAATGTAGCATATTCCTATTTTCTGAAATTCCCTAAATTCTTGTAGCTATGTTTAGACTTTTTTTTTTTGCTACTATTCAAAGATGGAATGGCTCTTATTTTCTTGGGGTAATCTTCATTGGGTTGAAGAATCTCTCTCTCTCTCTCTTTCTCCTTTTGCTTTTACATATCATTGGGGTTCCATCGTCTTTAAAACTCTCATAGGATTTAACAAATTTAATAATTTAATTATTAAATAATAAATTTATTATTATTTTTATTATTATTATTATTATTATTTGAAGCCATTAATGTCCAGTGTGTGAGAGTAGAGAAACAAGAATTCTTTATATTACTCCTCTCTGCCTTGTTCTACATAAGTTGCTTGCTTTTGGTGTGTGTGTGTGTGTGTGTGTGTGTGTGTGTGTGTGTGTGTGTGTTGCGGAACTATCTTGTTGACCCCAGCGTATTTGCTGAGACAGTCTCTCACTGAACCTGGAGCTAGATGATTTGGCTGGAATGGCTAGAGAAAGAGCCCAGGGCTCTTGTCTTTGCCTCCCCAGCGCTGGTATTGCAGGCACAGGTCGACAGTTTTTATGTGGTCTCCGGGGACTTTAACTCTGGCCCTCATGCTTATACAACAAGTACTTTGCTGACTTTGCCTCTCCCCAACCCCCGAGTTCCTTTCTCTTCTGATGGCAGATTTCTGCTCATTTATCGTTTCCCAGAAAGCCATTTTACCCGACTCCTCTGGTTTTTCTATACCGAGAGAGTGGAAGTTATCTTTTGGATTCCACCCCACTCCCTATTTCTGTGTCGCTTAACACTCTCACACTGCTTGCTTCCCGTGTTATTCTAAATCCTTTCTAACCATCTACATATCTCAGTGACTTAAGAGTTCTCTGTAGGGCTCACTCATGATTCCACTGATTTTCTTGGGTTTTTCAATACAGTATTCACATTGTTTCCTGCTGGGAGGCACATGACGTCTCCACCTTCTTCAGCTACGTCGCCACCCGCGGTGCTTGCTATTGCCACCAGCATCTTAGGATGCAAAGCCTTTCTATATTTAGAACTAATTCCTTGCATTAGATTTTCTGGACCAAAGGGTAGGCATGGTTTTTAGGCCAATGTACTTTCCAGAAGAGTTATTCCAATTGACACTTGAACCAGCAAGGGAACTATTTATTTACTTCTTTAATTTGTACTACTAGGGATGGTACTTAGATAAGCAGGTGCTCTTCCACAGAGCCACACCCCAGCCCCTCATTGGGGGATTCTAGGCAGGTGCTTTACCACTGAGCCACACCCCAGCCCCTCACTGGGGGATTCTAGGCAGGTGCTCTACCACTGAGCCACACCCCAGCCCCTCACTGGGGGATTCTAGGCAGGTGCTGTACCACTGAGCCACACCCCAGCCTCTCACTGGGGGATTCTAGGCAGGTGCTCTACCACTGAGTCACACACTCAGCCCTCTTCTTACCTTTCATTTTAAGACAGATTCCCACTAAGTTGCTTAGGTTGGCTTCCAGCTCACTCTTCAACCAGGCTAGCCTTAACTTTTGATCCTCCTGATTCATTCTCTCAGGAAGACAAGGATGTCAAAGTCTGGATCTGTTCTCATCCCCTCCAATGACAAAATGTCTCCCCAAGCTCCAACTGCTTCCTGGCCTTGTCTGATTTCAGTTCCTGACCCCACCTCCCCTCATTTTTCCTCCCTCTCTCTTGCCCTCCCCTCTTCACTTCCCCTCCTCTCCCTCCTTCAGTTCCCTATATATTGCCTTTATGGAGTAGGAGTAAGGGCAAGGTTTCTGTCGCTCAGGCTGGCCTGGGATTCATGGTAATCGTGTCTCAGCCTCAGCCTCCCAAGTGCTGGGACTGCACCACACCCAGCTCCTCTCCTCCTAACTTGAGAGTAATAAGCTCTCTCATCCTCTGCACTGTGTTCTTGCTATTCTTCTTGCCTAAAACACCCTGGCCACAAACCTCCCCAACACATTACCCTAGGGCCCTTTCCATCAGTCACTCAAGTACCTCAACTCAAATGCCATTTTCCCAGAGTGCTCTTTGCTAGCCACCTAGACAGCTGCTCATCTCCTTCCCCAGAGTCATGTGCTGCAGCCCACTCCATCACTCTGTCTTGTCTCATCTTGGGGATTTGATGGAACATGATACCTGTCTGTCACTAGCCCTTCTTTTTGTGGAGAGAACACTGCTTGAAAGTTTCCCATACCCAGGACAATAAGAGTGGCTTCCTGTACTCCAGGATGCCTTCACAAAGTTTTAATTGGGGAATAGGGTGGGGTAGGACTTCATGTAGCTCAGGCTGGCCCTTGAACTTCTGATCCTCCTGTCATCACCTCCCAAGTGCTGGGATAACAGACATGTGCCATAGTTGAGCTGTATCCATACTGCCAAAGCTTTAGACTGTGTGAAGCCTTGGGGTCTTTCACACTGAGATTATTATAATTCACCATAACCTCTAACAGGCCGTGGGGACACATGCTGTCCTTGAGTGTACGTATGACACTCCATTGAGCCAGGTCTGGTGAGGCACTCCTGACATCCCTGCACAAGGATCCTGAGTTCCGGGTCAACCTGGACTACAGAAAGGAAGGCTACCAAACAAACAAACAACAACAAAACACCCCCAAGAACTCTTTGAGGGAGGCTGGCAAGATGACAAGGAAGACCCCAGCCACGGGCCGAACCAAACAGACTTCCAGAATGAAGTGGGGATGCAGGCAAGGGGAGAGCATGCAGCAAGGGCATCTCTCTGTGCCTTGGTCCTGACAGCCCCCCAGTCCCCACAGACAGGTCACAGGGTGTAAGGACTTAGGACACTGTCCCCACTAATTCCTGGCCTCATCTTTACTGGCCCCCAGAGGGCACATGGCCAGGGCCAGGGTCAGAACAGACCCTTTTGCAGCAATCAGAGCAAGCCCCAGGTCTACATCACAAATAGCAAGCTTAAGCTCCAGGAGACTAAACCCAGGCACGAAGGTTGGAGGGGTTGGGCAGTGAAGAAGGCCAGCTAGGACACCAAGCCCACCCTTTGTGCTAGGCTGTCAGATATGGGGGTGTAGAGCCAAGTGGGGTGTGAGTGGGTAGAGGACAGCACTTCCGCTGAAAGCCGTGGCACAGGATAATGATGGGCCCATGCTCTGTGTGTGTGTGTGTGTGTGTGTGTGTGTGTGTGTGTGTGTGTGTGTGCTGGTGGGGGACAGCACATCATGGGAGGGGAAGGGAGGCGGGGCAGAGAGGCAGAGCACGTGCGAAGGCTGTGGGAGGGGTCACGAGGGGCGGGGCGTATGGGAAGTGATGGAGCAGAGCTAGCAGGTTTGGGGGACAGGTCATATATAAAGCCTGAAGGTGAGACCAGGTAGGTGTGACAAAGTGGGCCCAGAGGAAGGAGTGGAACATGTGTGAATGACGAGGGTGGGACTAGGCAAATGAAGTAGGAAGGTGGAGCCAGGCAGGAATCAAGGGAGTCGGGGAGGACAAAGGGTGGGGAAAAACAGGGGTGTAGCTAGGTAGGCAGGCAGAGGTGGAAGGCAGGGATAGAGGACGGGATCTGTGGTCTGGGTTGGGTCCGGCCAAGGGCACAGAAGGAACAAGGGTGAAGACAGCCAAGAGAAGTGGGAGCGTGAAGTATGAGCAATTCAGAGGCGGAGCTAGGGGCGGGGCCATGTAGAGTGGGTGGAGCATGGTTAAAGAAAATGGGGCGGGGAATATAGGAAGGACAGGGTTAAAGAATATAGTGCTGGGGCGGAGTGAATAGGAGGTAAAGTGGGGGTTAGGGGCAGATTCATACTGGGTGGAGCGCTGGCAGGGAGACGGGGCGGGGGGGGGGGCGTCTGGGTAGTGGTAGGCTCCTCTGGAGGTGGGACTTGGGCGGAGTCATGTGGAGTAGGAGAAGTGTGATGGGGCGGGGTCACAAGGATGGGGCGGGGCGTCTGGTGGTGGAAAGAATTGCTGGAGGCGGGACTTGGGCGGAGCCATATGGTAGGCGGAGCTGTGGGGGCGGGGCCATGTGGACGGGCGGGGCACGGGCCGGGCTTGCTCGCTGCAGCTGCTGTGCCCCCCCACAGCACGCGCTCGCGGACCCGGGCCCGCGGACCGGGACACCCAGGAGGACGCCCGCCGCGCCCGGCCCAAGCCTCGAGGAGCGGGGCGCAGCGCGCAGGGTCCGGGCGCGGGCGGCGGGCAGCCACCGAGGATCCCAGCTTGGGGCCGGCCGAGGTGAGTGTCGCCAAGGAGGTGGCGGGGAGACGCCGGCGGGGACCTGTCGGAGCCTTTGTCTGCGGCGCGCAGCCCCAGTCGCGCCGCCTCCCCTCCCGCCCTCCCAGTAGTCGGATCTCTGCCGCACTCCTTGTCCTGGGAAGAGGGGTTCTCTCGCCCAGTGCCAGATCCCCTGCATCCCAGCTGGGAGCGCAGGACGCAAGCTCTAGAAGGGGACAAGCCCAGGTGGCCTTGGCCAAGCCGGGTCGTGGCACTACCTGCTCTTTTGGTCACACCCCAGGGGGTTCTTGCACCTGAAGTTCCTTCCGGACCCACCTCCTTTCATCTGTCCTTTCCGTACAGCCAGTCTAGTTCTAGTTCTTGGGAAAGGTTATGGCAGAGGCGGGGCCTGGGCACTGGGTCACGACCTCCGAGTTGCCCCAGAGGTCTCCCCTTTGCTGGGGGCCGTGTGGGCCCGGGGTCCAACTTTGGTTCTGCTGGGGCTGCCTGCGGAAGAAACATCAGGGTCTGCTAGTATCGGGACTGTGCAGGAACCCAAAACATGGAGGGAGATCGGCCCAAGCTGCCCCTCAGCCCTGCGGACATCCCAGGCCTTGATCAGTCTGGCACTGATGTTACATTCATCTGTTCCCTGCCTCTCAAAGAGGAGCTGCCCCCAAGGGACTCAAAACCCACAATCCTACAGCGAGGAGTGGAGTCTTAGGATGCGCAGGGAGACTCCCTAAACGATGTCAGGGCACGGGACAGGGGCATCCAAGGGCATTTAGTAAGGAGGAGTTGTGGTTGGAGCCAGAAGTTCAAGGCCTGATGAGGTTGAGCAGGTTGGCTTTTCAAATGAAATTTAGTTTCCCTGCCCCTTCTGCTGGCTTCAGGTGTGGGGCAAGCAGCTTGGGAGACAATCTCTACAGCAACTGGGAGGGGCCGGTGGTGGTCAGCCAGGTCAGGGTCCAGTTGGAGCTGTCTGGCTGTGGATTTGTTTGGCTTCTTCTCCTCCTTGGTCATCTCTTCTGCAGACTGGCGCTGTGTGCTGTGTGCCTAGTTTGACAGAACTGCTGAGAGCTAGGAGCCCTCTTTGGCCCACTCGGTGCTAAGGGGCAGCTTGGATCAGCATTAAAACACCAAGTGTGAGCAGCTAAGCTTTTTCTACCCACCACCAGTCCCTCTCTGTGAAGTACTCTGTCACTCTCCAGGCGGGTGAACTGGTGCCAAGGATGGTCTGGAGGCTAAAGAAATGACCTGTGTCATCTCCGGTGCTTTTGTGACAAGCACGGAGGGGTCCCGAGTCAGGTGTGTAGAGAAAAGCTTCCTTTCCCATGTCTATCTGCACACCCTTAAAATTTAATTGAAGTGAATATACGAGGGAAGATCCAAGACTCTGCATGTTAAATGTGGGGGGCTGGGAGAAGAGAGCGATGAAAGCCGTGGGGACAGTGTGGGTGGCAGCTGCCCGCCACGCTGACTGAGCCAGAGCAAGCAGCCTGGCAGGATGCCGAATACATCCGCCTTCCCGGATGGTGTGGCCTCAGCCAGGCAGAAACCTCTCACGCTAGTCCGGCTTGTCTGGGAGACTGCATCATAGGAGCCCCTACTGAACATGAGCCAGGCTTTTTGGATCCTGGGTGTCCTCCAGGACTGAGCCTCTATCACTAGTGGGTCCATGGACACTGTGAATAGTATTCCAACAGTGGCCCCTTACCCAGCCCCTCCTGTTTAGTGAGGAGGGTTGGTGGGCTGGATTCCGATTGGGTAACTTTAAGCCTTTCACTAACCCACCTCTTTGGAGATCAGACAAGTGTATGCTGAGTGACAAACAAGACCAGGATTGTACCCAACTCCGCTGTCATTCAAGCCCAGGCCAGCTATGCCCTAAGTCTTTCTAAGTCTCTCCCAATTCCAGATGCTGTTACTAGGACCAGAGTGGCTGGAGAGGGGCCCCTTAGGAAAGTCTTGAGCCTGGAGGGGAGGTTCACCTGGCTTCCCAGCCTCTTGTTAATGAGTACTAGTTACCTCTGGGTCAGCCACAAATATGGGAAGTTCCTTGGGCCCCAGAGCTTAAGTATGCTTTGGGCTCCAAGGCCCCAAAGAGACTCCAGTCTTGGTCCCTGACCCTAACACAACTCTGTTGAGAGAGAATGGAGAGAAGATATATTCAGGAAGAGGATTTGGTAACTAGTGGGAAGAACCAACCTTGGGCTCTGGGAAAGAGGTAAACTGAGGCAGAAGAGCTGCAGAAATGACCTGGCAAAGAAATGAAAACAGGTGGCTATGGCACAGGGCATGCTGGTGCCACAGGTACAGAAATAATTGATGTAGTTCCGAAAGGTGGGGTCCCTTAGGGATGGGGGCCTCAGCTTCTTCCATGGCCTCTCTCATGTGTGCTTGCTGAGAAAGAGAAGCTGTCTATGTCCATGATCTGACCAGCGCTGCGATGTTCCCATCTCTGTGTATGTCTCATGCTCTAGGAAGGGTATGGATCTTTTTGTTTTTCAGATCAAATTTTCAACAGTGTTTTAAAATTTATCTGAGAAAAGCTAGACACTCTATGTACGCAAGGTTACCCAGGTATCAGGGCTTTTCCCAGCCATGGGTTCCCTTTTCTCCAAAGATAAGGACAGAACTGCAGCTCTGAACTGAAGCAAGAAACAGTGAGGCAAGAAAGAGTGCAATAGGTGTGGGTGAGTGGTAGAGCCCCTGCCTAGAATCCCCCAGTGAGGTGCTGGGGTGTGGCTCCGTGGTAGAGCACCTGCCTAGAATCCCCCAGTGAGGGGCTGGGGTGTGACTCAGTGGTAGAGCACCTGCCTAGAATCCCCCAGTGAGGTGCTGGGGTGTGGCTCAGTGGTAGAGCCCCTGCCTAGAATCCCCCAGTGAGGGGCTGGGGTGTGACTCAGTGGTAGAGCCCCTGCCTAGAATCCCCAGTGAGGGGCTGGGGTGTGACTCAGTGGTAGAGCACCTGCCTAGAATCCCCCAGTGAGGGGCTGGGGTGTGACTCAGTGGTAGAGCACCTGCCTAGAATCCCCCAGTGAGGGGCTGGGGTGTGGCTCCGTGGTAGAGCACCTGCCTAGAATCTCCTTGGGGAGCTGTAGCTATAGTTCAGTGTCCCAGAAAGACATTATCACACAAACCTGGGTTGGATTCTGGACTCTACTACTTTCTGCCCACAAGAGCAGAGTGAGCATTGTTACCCTGCATCGCTCACTTCTGTTGGCTGACTGAGGAACGCGTAGCGGCACCTTCCTCTCAGAGGGAAAGGATGAGTGAGACAGTTGCAGCTCTCGGCTGGCGAACAGTCTCTGTAATGTCACCCATTGTTTCTGATTGCTCACTGGGTCCTGGCATTCCAACTTCAATTTATTTTTCCACTCTGTCTGTGTATGTCTCCTTTGCCCAGGGTTTTCTCCTGCTCGAAGGCCACCTAGCTGCTCTTGGGACAAAGACCTCTGAACTGGGCTCCTGGGCTGTAGTCTCTGTTCTTACCATCCGGTTTCCATAGCAACAGGCAAGGTCACATCACCTCACTGCTGAGCTTGTATCCTTCATGATGAAACATCAAAGGAGAAACAGGGCTGGAAAGATGTCTCAGCAGTTAGGAGCATGTACTGTTCTGGCAGAGGATCCAAGTTTGGTTCCCAGCACCCAAGTCAGGTGGCTCAATATTGATCAAAACTCCAGTTCTAAGGGGGATCTGAGCCCTTTGAATTCCTCAGGAACCAGCACTGATGGACACAGACACACATATAATTAAAATAATAAGATATTTTTAAAAATATATTTTTAAATGATGGGAGAAATAAAGACATGTGTGGTAGGACATTCCTGTATTCCCAGCTCTGGGAGGCTGAAGCATGAGGATCATAAGTTCTAGGCCAGCCTGGGATGCAGAGAAAATCCTATCTCAAAACAAAGCAGATATATCTCAGTGGTAGAGCACCTGCCTAGAATCCCCCAGTGAGGGACTGGGGGCGTGGCTTAACTGTAGAGCACCTGCCTAGAATCCCCCAGTGAGGGACTGGGGGCGTGGCTTAACTGTAGAGCACCTG